CGGCGGCAAAGGAACGGAAATACGACGGAATACCTCGATACTTCGTAGTATATTCGAACTATGCTGGTCGTTATCAGACTAGTGGAAAACGACGAAAATGGGTCCAAAACAAGCCTTAGATTTTTACGCGGGTTTTAAAGGGAATCATTAGCTGAAAGAAATTAAAAAAGTGTTAAAAGGTACTATGAAAATTTATATCATCCCAGGTAGGACTCTGTCAACTGGTAATACTCACACAATCCATTAGAGGGCATGCTTTGTCACCAATGATATGCGGATCAGCATCAAGCAGTTTATTATTTTCGTTTTCTAGCAGCTTTCTCTGAAGAGGACTACGGTTACGGCGGAACACTCGGGCATCATGCATGCTTCCCACTTCGCCTACATGAAAGTCACGGATGAGCAGGTTGTGGTCACAGACAGCTTGTGTGTTAAGACTGTGACTGCTATATCTGTTCCTATATCTGTCAGCTTGCTCATTGGGGGCTGTGATTACATTGTGAGTACCGTCAATAACTCCAACAATACCAGGGAACCCAGAGTAAGCTTCAAACTTGGCACTTATCACTCTCCTCTACTCAGCATATGGCCATTTTACATAAAGCGGGGCTATCGCCCGAAAGCAGCCAATCAATGTCGAGTAGTGAGCGTGGAGGCTACCTGGTAACACACCAAAGTGAAGGGCAATACCTCTAAAAGCATCTGAGTTGGCCAGGACCCAAAGAACCATTAGCAACGGAATGTCAAGCCTTTTCCTTATCCTCAACACTTTCCCATTGTCAATCATCGAGTTTGCAAGAGTCTCCAAAAGTATCTACAAGAGAAAAAGAAAAGTGTTACCACAATTGTCAATATGTTGCTTCACATGTGCATTTCATCAAATGTTCACCTCAAACGTTGCGTTTAATACTCTGAAGTGCCGAGCAAAGGAAGGAGCTCCCATTGATCTCAGTCCATCAATATCCACATTGATTTTCACCCAATTTTCCTCATCGTCGTCCCCTGCAAATTTACAAGTAATCCAATTCATGTGTTCACAAATCTCATAGCCAAATATGCAATCATAATTTAGGACTAACCTAACAAATCAATGCCTTCTTCCATCCAAGCAACAATCCGGGCGCCCGTTCTTCCAATTACAAGTGCCGCAACCATTTCATCTTCTTCCTCTTGCTCTAATGCTCGCTCGAGCAGCCAGATGGCAGTATTAAGTAAAGCTATTACGTCCATTTCTTTGCTATTTTATTCAGAAAGGCAAGCCGATGGCAGCACAACAAAAGAAAAAAAAAAAAAAACAGAAACGTTCGCACCGCCTTTTCACACGCGACAGACGACTCGGGTCCGGATCGGGCACGTATTTTTCCTACTATTCTTCTTTTTACGCTCGCACGTAGGTTTTGGTAGGTTTAAAGCAAAATTATACCTTAAAAACACTTATTTCAGCATTCGCAAGCCGTCTACGGCTGTAAAACACGAATATGCAACAACTGTTAAACTGATAAACTTTTAAACTGTTAAACTCCTTAACCAGATAAAGCCCTAGTGTAAAAAGAAAAGTGGGGTTGCAATTTTGAAGCCAAGAACTTGGAATATCTCCCAAACGGAGAACCCTGAACTCGAGTACTCTCTCTCTTAACCCAGCTGGGAAAAAGGAATCCTGAATTGGCAGAAACGAAACTTGGAAGAGTCTAAAATCTTTTGAAGTTGCTGCTGGAGCAGGTAGAGAGTTGGGTTGATATAAAAGAATTAAAAATAGCTACGTCATGGACATAAAAGTTATAGAGAATCAATGAATAAATGTCAAATGTCATAAAGAGTATAAATCAATGAGTGAAAATTAAGAAAAGATAATGAATCATTGAATAATATGAAAATGAACTCCAATAAAAGGGGAGGCGACTCCATTGCACATGGCAAGTGGGGTAGAGTGCGTCAGTTTTAGGCAAAATTGCAAAAAAGGGTATGGAGAACCGTTAGGGTAGTTCCCTTTCTTGAAATTTGGTAACCTGTTGCTTGCCTGTTTGAATCTCCTTTATTTGTTCTGTCCAAAAAGGAAAGATTGCTTTTAAAAAAAGGACGTAATTGCACTACGTAGATATGGAAAGTTCAGCCATTCAATTTTGATGTTGTAGGCGGACATTTTTGGTAAGCCAATGGCGTGGAAGAGACGGCCAGAGATAGTCAGATTGACTAGTGGGGTGTCTAAATCTTTAAAGGGATTTCAAGTGTTGAAATGTTTTAAAACTAGAGAGTGTACGTGCTGTTTAGTTAACTATCGAAATACGCCATATATTGTACTTATCGAGGCATCTTAATTTGGCGCCTTGGGCACTTGTTAGTAAAATGTGCTGGAAAGATGGAATTATTTAATAAAAAAGCTAAGAGTCATATGAGGCAGACTGTAATTCGTGGAAGATCTTCCACTGAATAAACATAAAGAGAATTTTCTAAATTTAGAGATTGGCTTAATTTTTTATGTTTGTCTTAATTAAGTGCTAACCTATAGCTGGGTTTGCTCAGCGGATGTTTCCGTGCTAGGAGAGCGGTTAATTATTTGGAGATAAAAAAAAGAATGTGAGGACTAACATTTAAAAAAAAAAACAAGCTTGCGCTAACGTGGAAGCAGATGATACAGCTTTAATTTAATTTTAGTTAGTGTTCTTTACATTGGGGAACATAGTTATATGTATGTAGGTCTTGCCCAGAGTGGCAGAGCGTAGAACACAGTGGTCAGGGGAACAACATAACAAAGCAAAACGCGGTCTGCTAAAAGGCGACAAAACTTAATTCAAGCGACTTCATGGAATCAAAATCGCGGGCAGTGCTTTATAACACATAACAACTTTTTCTTGACTACTCATTTTCCATCCCCCAAAAGCCCTCTTTGTCATTAAACATATGCCTAATTTCAGAAAATATTGGTAATCACGTCTTATTATAGGTACATAAACGTAAAAAGGCATAATTAGAGCTGGTTGAGGAATTCCCC